TTTTCATGCCTTCTTTTCTCTTCTAAGTTAATAATTCTAACTGTACGCAGAGATTTATTATTTTCACGCCCGTCCAGTTCAAACCATTGCTTACGTAATTGTAAAATCTTTTAAATGAAAGTTTTATGAAATTTGTGAGGGCTCCAATAGAGTCATCTCAATGAATAAAACATTTATTCGCAATTTGTGGAGGAGTTCACTCGTTAGCTAGTTCACAAAGTTTCTTATTTATTTACATTTATTTATTGTATTTTCTTTATTGTACAAACTACAAGTACGATACATCACTGGAGTATATCTATGGTATCTGTTAGAATTAGTTATTTACATCTAATTATACTAACGGTAATTACTGAAAAAGATAAGTCGAGGTTTCCTTTTACCTTAATAGCAGTACTCACTTTTATCACGTTTCAAGTTTTCACGCGTTACGGCGAAGAAGAATTAATTGAAAAAACTGAACAAACAAAGAACTTGCAAAGCATATTAAAAACAAAGAAAGTTAACGGTAAAGTAACTTAGCTACGACTATTTTATTGCTATGCCTTAAAGAATGCAATATGCCACACCATGTTCGGGTGGGCCAAGATAGTCCACTTCATTTATTATTACATTAAGTTGCACTACATAAGTATATCTTAAAAATAACGTACTTTGATTTCCAAGGCAATCAACAAGTGAAATTCAAATTCAAATCACAGGAAAACTGCAGGTCTAGAGAAATGCCAACAAGAAAAATTTTAAATTGTATTTATGAATCGATATACTCAGTTATTTTGAAATAGTCTCCTTAGACGTCCAATGAAATTTGTTTTTTAAGCCTCTTTTCGGTTTTGGGAATATGGACTATACATATTAATTGCATATCACAATGTTTATATATTTATTTGTTGAAAAATCAAGAAAAAACAGCAATTATGAGAGAAGATGAGAGTCTCATGCTTGACATGGAACCAGTAATGAACACCAGAAATGAATCTCACTAAGTTTAAATAGATTTAAACTGATTCTGGAGTCACAACCATATACAAATTTATTTGCAATGCCACACGCAATGAAATAATGTCACATGATGGTAAAAACCTAACTGTGATAGAAAATTTAGATCTGCAGCACATCCTGATCAGTTCGACCAGTTAGTTCCTCGTTAACTCATTCCTAAAATGAACTTTATTGAATCTGCCATAGAAATTGAACAATTGTTAATATTTTGTATCGATGACAAGCTATCATAACATACATACACGCCGCAGACCACAGACCTTGACACATACACAGGCCTTTTAGATGACAAGCCTTCTTTTGAAGGTGTTTCTAGATGTTGAGGCAATTCCAAAAGAAAATTCAGATTTTCAACTTATTCACCTGCTGAAATCCCTATTGCTCAAAATCTAATCTCAGACTATTCCTGTGTATTATCCAGAATATATGTGCAGAGCATGCCAGGTTTGATGATTACGAACTATTTTCACCCCGAGGAAGTGAGCTAAATTCTAACCTTACAAGATTGCCAGCAAACTGGGTTAGAACAAACGAGGTCAACAAGAAATGCTAAACTGGTTAACAGCATTGAATCACCACGGATATCTTTAGATAATGTCCTTACTGCAGTTAAAAAACCTCTCGAAAATGGTCTTCAACTTTACTTAAGTAATATTTTTGTACCACATTATTTGGTACAAAAAGAGGTTATCGTCTTCCCTCACTACTTGGCTTATGAATGCTTTAAATTTAGCCCAGATGACTAAGCCATTTCCATCTCGAGTTACATGCACTCCAATAAAAATTGTTTAGGCATGGCATCATTGAATTACCCAAATCTTTAAATGCTTTTTCTTATATGATTTCAAAAAGTGTTTTATAAATTTCTTAAACAGATATACAAATTACGTTTGAAAACTTACTTAAGATAATTATAAATCTGAGGATTTAAAATTTTTCGGTAAAGTTTTAAATTATTAAGTTTTGGTAAATTTTTTATCAAATTATATATACCTGTTGATATTTTTAGCTGCTTTTTTAACCAATGAATTTAATCCCGAGTAAATAAACATTTTCAGTGCTTTCCCTGTCGATCCTTTACTGAGCAAAGTAGAAAAGTAAAGCAAAAAGTTACCAGCTCAGATCAATAAAACTGGAAGATAATGTGGACTATACCATTGTTTTTTTTTATGATTTGAAGAGGGACACTTTGTTTTTACTATATTATTACTTATGTGATGTTTAATTTCGATTTCTGTGTAATCATGCTTACATGTATGACAAATTTTTCAAAAAATCAAAAATTGTCAAATAAAAACGAAATATTTCGGTTCTGCTCAACCAGCCAAAGGCAATATATGAGATGTAGTAATTTAGCATACCTCACAAGTATATATTGGATAAAACATATCAAATAAAACACTAGAATTTTCAGTAGCATACCTAATCCAAGAATCACTTTTAATAAGCCACTACAAATAACCACAGAATTTTTTTATAATTGCGAAAATACTTAAATGAGAAAAACATTCAGTGGCTGTGTAGTCTAACCGTATGTTAACTAACCGTATATCAGTTGAGTGTTTGTTCCCAATAGTTTCTGTTTCTGTTTTTTTTTTAGTTTCAGTTTCATTTTTGGGATGTGCTTTTATTAATAGAAGAATAAAATCCATTCCAAAAATAACGCTATTAGCGTCATAGTCGAATACACCAAATTTGCATGTGTCATTCAAGTTTTTTCTGACAGGGCTCTTTGAAACAGCTTTAAGATTTTTAAGCTTTGACTGTAGATTTTTAACTAAAAGTACAAAAATGATTCAATTTGGAATGGTAAATTGGAATAGCCAAAAAACCTGTCAATTCTACTTGCATAAACATTTAGGTTTATACGGTAGAACTTTGCACTTTCACCCAAATTTTTCAGAATTCCCCGTTAGTTCTTTACTTTATTTGACAGTTTCCTTTTCTCTCTCGGAAGCTGTTCACATAAACTACATCCTGGTACAACATTATTTTCTTGTGTTTTGACCATTTGGCACATCTAAGATTTCTCTTTCTTCAACATGTATCCTTCATATCAGAATTCTCACCTTTACACCCCTTTGTCTAAATGCACTTGTATTCTTCAGCAGCATGCATGCGAATTTTGCTTTGTAAATAGCGCAAAATTTCATAGAGCTACTTTAAATTACGGTTTTAATTTCCCTTCAAAACATGCCTTAGAAATAGAGCAAAAAACTTTGATTAAACGTGGAAATCTTATTTAATTTCTTTAAAAATAACTTAAAAGCAGCGCCGAAAACTTTCATAATTCGAATTTTTTCTTCTTCATCTATTGATAAATTAAATTTTAATATTTAAAAAAAATTAAGATTATTTCTACAGATACGTACGATTTGTTTTGTTACAAAACAATATCAAAATCAAAATAAGCTGTCAAACTTTAATATAGCCTTTTTAATGAAGTCTTTGTCGGTGACTACGCACTTCTATCTATATAGTCTGATAATTTTCCATATAAAAGCTTGTATTTCCACGTTTATTTTCCTCTTAAATCTCTTACGTAATTTTATTATTTGTATAATTAATCATAATACCAATCCCTTTGTCGATGCTTTAATTTTTGAGAAACGACATTAAACATAGAAGGCAATTGTGCCTTGACAAGTACAAAATCAAGATATTCTATATTTGCTGAATTTTCGACAGCATGACTGTCTTCATAGATATATATTTCAGTTGCTTTTAAACGAATATCAACGACGCCATGTTTTTAAAAATAATTAAACTGAATTACTATGTCAAATATTATTCATGCATATGTTTCACATAGACAAGTCTCTTTTGTTGATAAGCGCAAAAAGTATAATAAACGTAGTCTTCCATGCTGGTTTCTTTCAACTAAGAAAGTTGTTTTTTACTGCGATAACACATAAAAAGAGGTTGATAAAAAGTTTCTTATTTGGCATTTTTAAAAAAAACGAAAAAACTTTCCTTTTTTCCTCTCCTCGCTGTTTTTTCGGTTTCGTGACTTCACTTCTCTAATTTTCGTTTGTAAAAAAAATATCGTTTGTAATTGTGTCTTCTGGATAAATAAAACTCATGTTTCGAGTTTTTTTTCTTGACTGGCATTTCTACCTGGCTTTACTCTTAAAAACTTTACTTTTAAAATCAAATTTAAAATTACGCGCATATTGTATCTCCTGTCCAAAACAATAAGTTTTTGGACGACTATATGTTTCTGACCCAATCATAGCGCACTACTATGCCTGAAATAACGCTCTTAAATATTTCTCTCACTTATCGGAATAGCCTATTGGACTGAAAGATTTTATGGTCAATGTACGAATACTTTTCTGGCACGACATGGTCATTTCTTTCGTTTCAACAAATAAGTGTGAATAATTACAGTTCTCTAGGTATTTTTACTAAACTTGTGATGTAATGATTTTCAAAATTTTATTGTAAAGGTTGACGGAGAAGAGTTACTTACAGTACCCACCGTTTGGAAGAAAAATTTTGCCTATCCTTTTCGAAAGACGTTCTTTCGATTTGATGACATAAATAACAAGGCTGGTTTTCAATTAACACACCCCATTTCCTATGCAAAAAGTTTTAGCATCATTACCAGTTGGCCGGGCAGTGAACAGTTTTAAACCGATTATGTATGGAATCAATCAAAAGTGTGTCATGATACAAGGACAGCATGCAACGATAAGGTACATTTTGGAGTAACTGTAAACAAACTTGAACATGGAGCAAAATTAAACACACATTTTAAGATTATGTTACCCAAGATATTCACTCATTAAAACGCAAGTACTTGCATAAAATGACATCTATTTTATCTATTATGGCTTCTGAGCTCGAAAAATATGCGCAAGGTATGGGTTCAAACTGTTCAATGGTATGTCGTATTGTAAAACAGAATGATAAAGTAGTCTTGTTTGAGAGCTTGAGTAATGAAGCAGCTAAAGTAATTCAATCAATGCGTGTTCGAGTGTATGATTTAATCAAAGGACAAGCAACCATATCAGAAAATTGGAGGAGAGTTCTTATATCAATGCAATGGGACGGTAAAAAACCACAGGTAAAGGATATTCCATTGGGAAGAATTTTTAATGTTGGCCTTGACTTCATTCGTGAAATAAAAAGTTTGACAACAGGTCTAAGAAAAATGAGCTGTGACTTGACTGGAGACGCTGCATCAAAACTAAAGCCATTTGACGGGATGGCATATCTCTTCTATAAAATGCCCTTTTGGAAGTCACTAAAATCACTGTTAGTATACCAAATGGATTTAAATCTGCTCTTATTTGTTCACAATTTTCAACAAAGCTATTAGATTATAAAATATATCAGCCCCGACTAACTGGCTACTTTAGTGCTCAATTGACTCAACAAGGTTTTGATTTAAAACACAATAAAGATATTTTTCATTTGCAAAATGAATGGGGTCATGTTGTGGCTGTGAACTTTTTTTGGAGGAGTAAAAAAATCTCACAAGCACAAGAATTGGATGTAAATATTGAAACAAACAATGTAACTGCTCCAAAATTTCCTGGAACCGGATTGGAAGACTTTTTTCACTATTTTCACGACTTTTTTAGAACTAAAAACGTCACCGGACCATTTAATGGCATTCCTTCTTTCTACAAAACAAAAACGATCCGAATGATTAAATGCTTTCGACAAAACACTTTGGATCCAATCTTGTTTGTTAATGGTATTCGAATTTACTTAGAGTCTCATTTTAATCAAAAACCGAATAACTATCGAAAGTTTCTAAAGACATCATCGTCATTCAACCAAAATATTTTACCAGACTCCCTTTATACTGTTGTTTTGTACTATGGTAGCAAAGGTTCTGGTGGTTTGTACACGGACAATATGAATTATTATAGTTTCCAAAAGGGTTTGTCTCCCCGATTAAAATTTATTCCTGCAAGAGTTAAATATTTCAACATTCAAAGTATGTACAAAAATCAAGCTGGTGGACTTTCAAACAAAACAGTTGTATCTTTGGAGCCGGGACAGACTGTGGTTCATACATTTCTCATCTCTGAAAGCAACGTTGGTGTCGTTCTTCGTCGTGAATATCACTCATTAATACCAAATAAAAAGGCAAACGTGGTAGTTGACGAAAAAGAAGCTGGGATATGGTTTTGTCCACAAAGAGCAATAACTGAGTTATACTCTTTACGTCTGAACGATTACCTTCTTCCTCTTCATCAAACAATTGGCAAAAGATCCATTGAAGTGAAGATAACAGCAATTACAAAATGGGAAACGGTCTCAATTCATGTGCTTTCTGTTCTAATTGGAAGCAAATAATCCAAGTGAGCATAAAGAATAAAATGAACTCTGTACCATTTTATTTCAATAAATGCTAATAATAGGTTGTGTTTTTTGACTTACAAATTAAACTAGACTAGTCTGTCGTTAATTGTAAGTTACCTTCTTCAATTTAATTTTTAGTAAAATTTTAATACCATTTAAAATAGATTAATACTATCGTTGAATTATGTTTGTGATACTCAAACTGTTTAACGTACATTTAATCAAGATATATAATAAAGTTAATTGTATGGGATTATCTGAAGTCCGACGTTTGGATTTTGCATTGACTAAATTATTCTTGTCCAAACAAGTGTGGAACAAATTTCTGCATCTTTTGCAGAAAATTTGTCATCCGTGTGTCATGTTATAAAATGCTTATAGAAAGAGCTCTAAAGTTTAGAACGTTGTTTGTAACTAATACGAGTTGCAATTTCTGCAACATGGCGTTGATTTATTTGCTGGTCCTCGAGCCAAACAACATAATAAACACATTCAGGTACGGCTTATAGAGGAATGAGACAGGTGAAGCATTTCAAAGCTTGCAAAATCCACGTAAAAGTCGATCTATCTTTGGAAGAAAACCATTTCATAGATTAAATGTTAAGTCATCCGTCTTTGGTGCTGCCAGAGCTAAATCTAAAAGGGCTAGTGGAGATTTATGAGCATAACGGAATTTGAAAATAAAGAAAAAATTTTGAAGTGTGTTTCACATTGATGAGTTTAACCAAGAGGAAGATTATAATAATATTTTACACGATTATTACGATGGTGATTCCAAAATTGACAAATGTTAACTCAATTTATCACATTTTAATTTATACAACAGTTGATTAATATGGGATTAAAGGACACATGCAAGATAGGAGACAACTTTATTTTATTGTATTGCCTATAGCGTGAAAATGAGACGTACCAAGTTTCAAAGTCGTCCGCGATATTTAAAAAGATATTTAGGGTTATAATCGGTAAAAACACGATTGTTTAAGTCTGGGAACTGGGAAAGAGTGACGTAATAGTTGACATAAACAAGCTTTGTTCTTATATCGTTCTACGACTTGCACGCAATTATTGCACGGCTTTCGGTAGTTTGCTATTACTGTTTTTTATTTAACGAAAATTAATGGATTCTTCTTCTGAAGAAGCCGATTATGATATTGTTGTCAATAACAATGAGGTACAACCTTACATGTTTGAGCCTTTGGCCAACGCGGAAGGTGGTCATAATAATGACAATTCTTCGTCATCGGAAAGCGAAGATGAATACATTCACAGAATTGGAAATGTTGAATGGTTAGTTGCATTTTATTGATGCTTCATTGTTTTTCCCAAAGTAGAAAGAATGTTTTTATCTTTTAGGTGCGAGTGTAGCTTTAGTGTGGTCATGAGTACAGGATGGGAAAGTTTATGTTGCCAATAGGTAAACAACACTGATCCTCTGATACATGGCGATCATATTTGCATCACACAAGAGGAAGAGTTTGCCACAGTATGTACAAACGAAGCTGTCTTAAAAACAGCTATGGTCGTGTACACACATGACATTGGACCTATGCCTGAGAGTGAAGAAAACGAGTAAATATTACCTTAGAAGTGTAATTACGTGTTTGTCGACAAGTGTATAATGCCGATAAGTATCTTAGACAAAATTTTGTATCGTTCAGAGCATTACGCTACGCGGCGTACCGACAGTGGACGGCTTGAGTGCATGGCAGGTTGGGAAAAAAGTACCGACTACCCATACCTTCTTGTGCTGTGGACAAAATCCGGAAAGCATTTCCTTCGCCTTCTGGAGAATACAAAGGATTTGAATATGCTCAACACTACTGAATGGTAGGGCTTATGGCGTATGACAAAATCTGTTCATTTGTAATTATGTTTATTTCATGTGGGACGTTATTTCTTTTTATTTATTAAAGCGAGATTTATGTTGCTTAATGGCTTCAGCTTTGCTGATTTTTGATTTGTGGTGAGTCAATGGGACAGGTATGTCTTTCACTCCAGTGACATCAAGAGCTATGGAGAGTGTTAGATTAATGCGTGTGCAGTACAAAAGTTCTTTCATCAAGTCCTTAACATATCCTGAAAAGCAAATCATTATTTATGTTGGCTTTGCATTGCACTTTGAGAAAAGGTAAGTGTATTTTTCTGTGCTAACCATAAGTGCTGTCAACTTTCAGTGGTTTGATGACCCTTTGTCCTTCTTTTGACTTTGAATAAGCTACTCTCCAAATCAATGCCTCTTCTATTTGCCCACCATTCTTCGTTTTCTGAGGTTTATTGCCATTCTCATTGAAATGAAGAGCAGCAAAAAACAATCTACAAATGAATGTTAAGTTTATGTTTACTACTATTGCAGCTTATTGCTTTTGCAATGATGACTTTTTTAAGTAATCACACACTAGTCAAAATTATATTACCTTGCTTCCATTGATCTGTAGAAAAAATGGGTATGTTTTGGTGCAAAAAGAATCACCACTCGGTGGAAACCTTCGATGGATGAAGTCTGCTTCTGATAACTGAGTTTTCTAATATCTCTCATGAGATACTTCGACTCAACAATCGAAGACAGCTCAACATAAGCTTTTGAACCTAAGATCAGAAGTTAGTTAACAAAAAGAAAAAGAATGTTGATGTTACTTTGAAATTTATTTGCTTACAATACCTTTTTTTATCCACATTCTAGGCTGTGACATATCATGTTCACATTTTGGGAATACATCACTATGTCCCTCATGGATGTCACATATATGATTGAGAACTGACAACCACTTTGCCTTGACAAGTTCTTCATCACCATTGCTGGAAGCAGCACACCAGTATACATTGTTGGAAATTGATTGGGCCCAATCCGACAATAATTTGCTACCACTTTTTTTTGATGCTGCCAAAATTTTCTTTTTGATTCCTGTTGGAATTTGATTATTGATGAAATGTGTACAAGGTTGGTTTGTTATGACAATCTATACCTTTTGCTACATGCCATACATCAAAGTAGTGCTCGATTTTTGGTCTTTGTTTTGACATGAAGGATTTGATTAGAGCATGTCTGTCTGGGGTCATAGACTTTACCTTCATGTCACTTTCATCAAACTTTGCCAGACATCTTTTTAATCCCTCAAGTTCCATTGCTCCAGAGTTCGTCACTTCATTGGACTGTGTAACATAATTATGGGAGGATTCTAACCATGTTTTATGTACAGTTGTTGAAGAATTGTTACCTGAACAAGTTGTGTGTCTAAAATGCTGTTAGATTCCAAATCTATGCAGCTATATGACCCATACTTGGCACAATATCCAGGCGAATCACATCTTCCATCTCCTCCAAGATTAATGTTCCTTTCTCTGATTGATTCTAGAAGATACTTTTGGTTCATATGCCAAACATTTGAAACACTGGTTATCAAATACGCTGTTTGAATATTGCTATATGTACGCTCTGACAGAAATTGTATGCCTGTGTGACGAAGGAATTGAAGAATTTTGCTGGGGCTACTACCACTAAACAAGATGCTTGCAGCAAAGACCAAGTAGCCCAAAGGTATTCGCCCATGCAAAAGTTGGCTATTCCAGTTTCGAACATAACCACAATGACATTTTGCTAGTACGTTAACCATACTACCAGTCGTTTTGGTCACAATGGAACAGCTTTCACCACAACATGGGCATTGACTCACTAACTGTCTCAGGCAACTATCAAACACTATGTATTTTCTCTAATTTTGAACGTCTTCCCTATAACACAAAAATTACCATCAGAATCAGAGAGAGATAAACGTAACGTTATGAGAAACATAACAGAGAAAAGCAATGTAAAGAATAGTCAGGTGACTGGATAGTTGGTACTAACGTTGCATTGTCATTGTCGGATTCTTCATCTTCGCTTAACTCATTTGAACATTGAGAGTCTGATCCATTGTTGCTATTGCTCATCGTCGACGTGCTTTCTGTATCAGACCATACAGCGCTATCCTCAAAATGTTCAATTTCACATGACGTCGTCTGTGTGCTGTGATTTTTTGTTGAAATGAACGCAACCTCCGTAGCTTAGCATAAAATTATCGTATTGCTGGATTTTTCACAAAAATCAAAACAGCCGAAATGGAAAGTCTATACCTCTACTTATCATATTTGGCACCTTTGTTTGAGTGGTTCTTGACCTTACGTGTTTTTGCGGACGGATTGTTATGGCTGCTTGGCATTTTACATTGCGCTTCTAAGGTACGTTAAGGAATTTTTTATGAGTTAAAATAACAAAGAAAAGATCAAATGACATTAGTCTGAATTAGTTACCACTGTATATGTTTGTGTTTCGCTGTCTACATATATTTTGACATCTTTCATCTTAGACAAACTTCCTTTGAGATAAAACGCACAAACATTTTGAGCCGATGTCGACACATCGTGGTCGTCGTCTACAAGAACGTCGTCAATAATCTAAAATTATAAAATTGTCTTCAATTTGGTAATGCTATATAGCTTAGTTTTTGATAAATGTAAGCAAATATTGCTAACTATAACAATAATATTCACCTCTTGCCTTCGTCTCTTCTCAAATGCAGTTCTAACATTTTTTGGCTGCTTCCTTTTAGATGCTACACTTGTGGGTTCCACAGAGTATTCAAAAAATCGTGGGTACAGCATCCTTCTTAAGGCGAAACCGTCTTGCTGTCCATCCTACTGATTGCATCGCTTCAAAATTTTGCACGAAGCACGAACTCTCGAAATGTTGCGAGCACAATTTTGAGCTCTTTGTTGTTTTCCAATTTTTGTTTCGGATTTTTTCAATCCAAATATCTCGCATACGCTTGTGTTCGGGAAACGAAAAAAAAGAAACCTTTTGCTGCGTTTCGTGGTTCTTAGAAGAACTTTTTTTACAATTAAATGCGGCACAATAAACCATATTTTCAATGCTAAAATGTCGTGGTGTTAAGAAGTTACCAATATATTTTGAACGAAGCGCACAATTGACCGCGTTTAGCGAATGTCAACTATTACGTCACAACGACATTGGTAGCTGTCGCTATCTCGTCGGGCATTTTCAATACGTTATCAGTAAAGCATCAACTTTAAACCTCCATATCTTCAAAAATATTTATCCTTTGAGTCTCAAACTTTGGTGAACTATTAGTTGGAGCTTTACCTTCATGTAAAGTACAAAAATAACAATCCGAATTTTATGTTGCATGTGTCCTTTAAATGAGGAAAGGCTCTGACGTGAAAATGGGTTATTTATCAACTACACATTAAATGCATTTTAGTTTATGAGTAAAGTGAAGTGAAAAAATACCAAAACCTGATATTAACATGGCTGGCTCTTTAATACTTTTAAAAAAATAGCTAGAGGCTTTAGCCTATTCTTTGTGTAAAATTGTTGTTTTTAATGTGATGCATGAGTAATTTTCAATACGATATGTAATTTCACAAAATCTTTATATCACATTGAAAAGCTCTAACAATCTAACCCACTGAATTCTTCACACGTGCAAATTATCTGACAGATGACAGGCAACTTTACATTGTGACAAATTTGTGGCAAATAACTTTAATGAAAAGGTTTTAACAATTTTAAAGCAGTAAATGTATATTTGTCACTTATTTATTTTGGCTTAACATAACAGAATTGTGAAGCATCATCAAATACAACACAAGATAAAGATCCGAAGACAAGATCCATAAAGATCCATGGCAAGATTTTGAACTTTCCTAACAAATTAAAACCAGAAATGAAAATGTATTAACTCATTTTCATGTATTCCACGATGCTTCCGCCTTGATCTATTTGAGGTGGGCCAACATTCTTCAAGACAGTAGCATGTGTCAATGTCATAACGGTGCGCTTTTCGTGAAAAGAAATACGGCTAATTCTTTTTAATGATCCCATCGAATACGAGTTTTTGTAGAGAAAGCCTATCCTCTCCAAAACAACGGCATTCCTTAGCATCAGTCACCAACTGAGTAAGATACATACAGGCTACATGCACACTTTAAGAAAAAGTATGCTGTTTGTTATTGTATTTACACAAAACAACATACGGACAAAATGACAATTTCTTATTTTATAAAGTTCTTATAACATTTATCAACTTACCAATTATCTAACTGAACGGTTCCTTTGAGCTTCGCCTTAAACGCTTGGAGCTCTAATCCATCTGCGTCTTCTTCGACCCAAAATTCTCACTGACAGCGTTCTCTAGAGATTCATTTTCGTACAAATGGACAATAGATTCAGCCACTATTATATCGTCATCGCTGTAATTCAAAATAATTTTTCATTTACTGTATCAGAGTTTCAGTATCCGAACTGCGTTCGCTCTTACTGCTTGAAAAACTCAAATTTTATTGTGAATAAGTGTAAAACATCTAACAAAATACTAGTAAATCAATGCTCATACTTCGACTTCCGTCCTTTTAATTACGTCACATCCGTATAATATTGCAAGATTAAAATTCACACTCATAACGCTACTTTGAGCAAGAATTTATTAATGATTTCTTTCCTCAATTTTCAAAAAAGATTATAGCAAAGTTGAGTATAGACAAAACTGATACCCAAAAATTCACTTCGGTAGCACTTTAAACAATATAGCATAATAGGCTTTTCAATACGTCGTCAATAGTGGAAGTTAAGTAAATTTTGGGAGACAAAATCGTGTAACCATAATTCATTTATGGCAATATAAATGAGAGATTAGAGAGAAAATTACCAACATCAGCAAGATATCCTATTGCAGCAAAAGGACCTCGAATGAAAACTATAGGTTAAGGTTTTAAAAATCTGTGGCGTGGTACACATGTTAATGTATTGATCAGATGGTCAGCAGCATGCATTTCTGCCAATCCAAAATTATAAGTGACAATTAAGGACAGGATGATGTAACATTGGACTTTAAGTACGTAAAGCTATAATTACATTGTTGACTATGTTGCTAGAAAATCGCACATTTTGTTAGCTAAAAAGCTAATGATAGAGAGGTACCAATTTCCATCAATGGTAAAAGAAAAAAGTCGCGTTATCAATGCATGTGGTTTGCGGTTCAGGTGTTAACTGCAAGATGCCCTTCTTGCGATAAGTGATGTATAGCAACGTTTTAGTACTTTTAATACAGCCAAGGGATGTATATTGCTCAATGGTATGCTTTTATATGAGTGTACAACATGAATATGCGTTTTTCATTGACAAACTTTTAAGAAAAACAAAAAAATTTGCTCAGGACAATGCAAATCATGAATTATAAATGTAAAACGCCAAACTAAATTCAATTTCTTCACAACGACAAACCTCGAAGGCAATTCCATTTCTAATGTCATATAACCATGTTTGTAAATGTTGATCGTCGAGGTTGGTATAGTCCTGAGAAGGACTCTTTTTGTTGTTGTTGACTGACGTTTCGACAACCTTAGTGGTAGTCATCTTTAGAGTCAACAAAAACAGTCCTTCTCAGGACTATACCAACTTGAACGATCGACATTTACAAACATGTAACGATACTCCCGGGTTCAAACCATTTACTTTATTACGTCATATAACCATGATGATTATCCAAGGTACATGCGTGTTGCGCTTTGACGCAGTAGTTTCAACTATTCATATAGTTATATATGGATTGCGGACAAAA